TCTCTCTCTCTCTCTCTCTCTCTCTCTCTCTCTCTCTCTCTCTCTCTCTCTCTCTCTCTCTCTCTCTCTCTCTCTCTCTCTCTCTCTCTCTCTCTCTCTCTCTCTCTCTCTCTCTCTCTCTCTCTCTCTCTCCAGAACTCAATCACTATCTCTTGCAATTCAGAGCCATGCTTTATTTCTTCTAGCTCTTAATCCTTTCTTTCCTTTCTCTACAATCCACTGAATACTAACAACCTTATCTCAACAACAGCCAATTGTTCTACAACTCCAAAGTATCCTACAACCTTGGCTACACTTGCAATGGCATCAACTCCTCCGGCAAAACCTTCCTCTCAACCCACCTTCAATTTCCCTTTCTCTATCGCTTATCTCCTGAACTTTGATGCCCTGCAAAACCTTCCTCTTCTTTAGCTCTCAGCTCACCTTCTCCGTCGCCTATCTCTTGAACTCTAATGCCCAAGAAATTGTAACAAGAAATCGGCAAACTAAGACAACTTTTAGGGACTTTAAACCTCTCCTACAAGAGATTTTCAGGTAGAATTCTTGAAACTTTAGGAAATCTCCCCATTTTTGTTAGCCTAGATTTGACCCACAATGACTTGAGTGGTCGGGTTCCGACTGCTGGACTGGATACTTGGTAACCCAAAGACCAACAGCTTTTTCCGGGAACCGTAACCTGTGCGACTTCCTTTTAAATAAGCCATGTGAAGTTTAAGAGGTTGTGATTTTGGCCGAAAATTTGGTGCTGATTTTGGTTGAAAATTTCCGAGGTCCCTTTAAATAAGCCATAAAATGTGACACCAAAGTGAAGGCAAGGCCCAATAGTGTTGATTTTGGTCGGAAATTTGGCTGGAGCTACTGCTCTCGTCATCTTGGCACCGTTTTTTTGCCGTAAAAGTAAAAAGGGTTGTCAAAAAAGTGAGAAGAGGGGAGAAAGAGCGGGTTTAAAGGTTATGGATGAAGGGGTTGTGTATGGTTTGGAGAGGGAATACGAGGGTTTGTATATAAAGTGGTGGTGGAGGACAGGGGTGCTCTCGGTTCAAAGAGTGGTGGATGGTGGTGGCTAAGTTTAGAAAGAGAGAGGGAGAGACTGAGTGCTCGCGATTAAGAGAGTGGTGGATGGTAGTGTTAAGTTTAGAGAGAGAAAGAGGGAGAGATTGAGTTTATAGAGAGAGCGTAGGTTAGAGGTTAGATTTTGAAGAAAGGAAATCATTTCATAAATTGTTAAAGTCAATATTATGTTCAAATGAGTTTAAAAGATTGTAAGATAGAAAAGATTGGGATATTTTGCTTACAAATAATACTTTCAATTTTTGAATTTCATGACGTATAAAAATTAAAAATAAAAAATTAAAAATAAAAAAATATTTTACATAAATAAAACTAAAACTTTTATTTGCATCAGCGATAGCACGTAGACGGCGAAGAGCCTACACTGATGAGGACCGCGAATTCGTAGGCCCAAACTAAAAGTGGCCCAAGGGCACCCACGTAAGCGGGACTTTTTATTAAAAGCCTCTCAAAACGACAAACTACCTTCTCGACCTTTCCATGTAGTGGTGTCATGCGCTACGTCATCGAACCCACCTACTCTAACGTGGGACAACTGCTAGCAGCCACGTGGTCCAAGAAATAAGGGTTCATTAAACATCATGCAATGTGATGATGTATATTTTGTTTTTCATTTCACTTAAATACTCTTTTATTTTAAAAAAATACTTAAATTGCTTCTTGTCTAGTAATTGAAACGAGTATTAAGGTGGGGTATTTCAGTAATTTGATGGTCGAAAGGCTTTCACTTAAATGATAAAAATATCTCTAATTACGCAATATAAATAAAGAATGTTTTGTTCAATATTAATAATGCATATGTTTTGTTCAATATTAATAATGCATAACAACTAAAAGAATTTTTATAATTTAATACGTACAAAGTATTTAACTGTAAAATAACAAAAATATCTTTAATCATTCTACATTACTAATAACTAAAAGTATATTATTTATTTGTGCTGCAAAACAACTAGAGGTATTGTCGTCATTCAGTTGACACCTTTTAAAGACGAAATTACAAAAAAGACTGTCGACAAAAAGACCATTTATCTTTTGTACATGGATGTCACAAAATTGGATGGATTGGGATGAGTTATGAAGTCTGAGAAATGTTTTTAGTAACTTTTGTGTTTATTTAATAACACTCTTACAATGCTCCATTTTGATATTTAAAAGACAATAATGATTGTGATCTTTATGTATAAAAGATACATAGTTACAATCTCATTACAAAATATCTATAGTTGTTCACATGCCAAATACTGAACAAAGATAATTTAGGTATTTTTAATTATCTTTTTAAAGAGATATCTAATTAAAATGAAAATAAAAAAGCGTATACTCAATAATATTGTAAAGGGTTTCATCCCTTCAATGATAATGTCTCAAGTAAAAAGAATAATAAAGTATGTATGTATCTGCTTCCCACAACAATAGCATACTCTGTGGTCAAGAGATTGGGCCACTATATTGATATACATATTAAACCACTATAAAGAATCTCTCCATTGAAAAAGATTATCAAAAGAAAAAAAAAAATCTCTCTACTGAAAAAGGAAGAGATGCCATTACCCCAAAGAGAATCATCTCCATAGAATAATTGCAGGTACTGTACCAGTGGCCCGGCCCATTACCAACCCCACAAAGTGCCATTGTAGCTTGTTTATTATATAATTTACAATAGCAATAAAGTGGACAAAATCAATGGCTTCATTAGAGAAAGAATAATAGGCACGATCGTGCCTCTACACTACCCAGCCCGCTCCTGTACCGATCTTATTTACACAAAAGAAAAATAATGCAGGAACCGCAGTATATACAGTGAAGAGAAAGAGAATGAGTTTTTAGAGAGAGTAAGTATAGAGAGGGAAAGACACGTTTGCTTGAACTAGAACAGTAAGCACGAGTTCTTCACATCATAATCCATCTTCTCGAGATTAGGCAATACAGCAAACTGGATCATAGGAGAAGGACCACATATCAGAGCGAGAGTATCATCTGATCCACCAGGAATATGCTCCCTCAAAATCCCCTCAGTTATGTACCCAACACTGTAACTCCAACCGTGGTCCTTAGGATTACTCAACACGTACCAGACCTTGAGTCTCGAATCCTCTCTCGCCCACTTATCGATCTCAGTTCTCAGCAGTATGTCTTCTTCTCTGCGATTCGCATACACCAGGTGCATCTCAGTGTGGTCCTCCGGGTCCTTGAGAATGGCCTGCATAACTTGGTATATAGGTGTGATCCCAGTCCCACCAGCTAACATGGTGAGCCTCTTGGCTTGCCTGTGTTTGCCCCCAACTGTGAACCCTCCTCTCCCTGTGTACTCAATGTGGCCGACGGGCCCCTTGATATCGACGATGGAGCCAAGGGGAAGCGACTCGAGGTACTGTGACATGAGCCCGCCATTCGGGAAATTGGGGTGCACTCCCTTGAAGTAGACCTTGATCAGGAGATCGAACGAGCCGACCTGGTCAGGTGGGCTCGTCGGTGTGTAAGATCGGATACAGAGTTTCCCCTCGATCTTTGCTGATACCATCAAGTGCTTGCCGGTGGGTAAGCCCAAAACATGATCAGGGGTGGGGAGGCTGAACCTAAACAAGCGGGAGTCGTCTGAAAGAATGATCTTCGATGTCAATGTGCATGGTGTCTTGGCCCTCGGGACTAAGGCCACAGGCCTAGAAACAGAGCTTTCACTAATGGTGGCCAAGTGGGAGAAATTTGAAGCACCATGCACTGAAGTGTTTGGTGAATTGTCGGCGGATGAGGAGGAGGCGTAGCCCGTGGTGATGAGCTCGCCAATCCTATACGACTCGAGCATCGACTTTGCCTTGTCGGAGTGGATGGCATCGAATTCATCAGTGCAGTCGGTGCCTGCATTTATCAGTATACTGTCCGCACCGCCGGGATGGTCCTTCAAGAACTTGGTGCAGTCGTAGACGTGTCGGTGGACCACAATCCAGGCAGACTCGGCGGTGGAGTGACGCTGGACCTCGGACATGGAGAGGCTCTTGGATGCGGTGTTCATGAAGGGGGAGGAGACACTCTTCTTCAGGGTTTTGGCCTCCTCGAACGTCTCAAGATGCTTTTGGCGCGCCATCCAGCCACCGGACTGGCTGCCTGGCTGGGTCGGGTGCTCGAACACCAGACCAATCTCGCCCTTGTGCGGTCTGCAAATGTTGGTTTTCACCTTAAACCAGCAGTTATTCATCATACCCTGTAAAAAATAACGAGCAAACCTTCAACAAGGTCTCTCCAATGGAGAATGCTTACATACCATTGTTGGAAAACATGACCCGCCCACAGTGCTCGACCCTTGACCGAGCCGAGTAACTTGGAATGCCAAGGCAAAAACTGTTAAAAATAAAAATAAAACAAAAGCTTGGAAAAAGGTAAAATATGTTTAAAGTGAAATTAAACAAAACGCATGGGTTAAATAAGTAATGAAAAATGGATTTTGAAAGATTAATTAGTAAGAAGGGTATTTTGGAAATAATATGAAAAAAAGGGAAAATGTAAAATGACCAAAACATTGTCCAATATTTGTTAAAATGATAGAAATATATATAAATATATATTACAGATAAATTCTTAATTTTAAAATATTTTATTACCAATAGATTTTTTTAAAAAAATTGAATTGTTTTTAATCCCCGATTCGGATCACCTCACTCAGATACTCCAGCATACCAGGGTGATAATCCCAAGTTATTTGGGTAAGTCCGAGTTGGTCCGGCCGAGATTTTAAGCACTACTTACACAGAAAGAGGAAGAAGGAGATAGGTGCTTGATACTCACCATGACGTTCCAATTGAGCTTCTCGGGCTGGGTGTTGTGGGTCTCATCCCAAGCCCGCACGGCAATCTCTTTAGTAGCTAGAAGGTCCAAAACTTCCAGCTCCAAGGACCAAAAGCACCAGCACCAGTACTTGCCATAGCGGTTAGGCCTCTCAGGGTGGTCAAGACTGCACAAGAGCCACGTCTCACCTCCATCAGTGGTCACCTCAACTCTAGTAACCTTTTTGCCTCCACCTGCTCAAAGCACCAACACATGAGTCACGTTTCTGACGAGGCTGTAAAATTCTCTAATAATATAAAAAAAAATTATATAAAAATATCATTTATTTTCAATACAATAAAATCACAATCATAGTTGTTCGTCATATATCAAACTAGGTTCTCGTAAACTTCCAACACATAAATCACGTTGCTGTTGGGGCTGTAAAATTCCCAAATGATCTAAAAAAAGTTCTATAAAGATATCATGTCATTTTAGTTTGAGAAAGTCATTCATTTTTGTCCGTCACATATCAACAGGTTTCTCATAAACTGCGTACATAAACATACAGTGTCTCATACTATATAAGAATCGGGTAAGTGTAATTGTGTCGTTGATTAGATTCAAAACTATGAGTGTCTCACAATATAACTACTATTTTTTAGGTGAGTATGTTCTTTTTCTAGATGAGGGCCTACTATTTTTTAGGTGAGTATGTTCTTTTTCTAGATGAGGGCCTATACCTTGATAGGAATTGAGCCGAGTAAGTGTAATTGTGTCATTGATTAGACTCAAAACTATTAGTGTCTCACAATATAATACCTACTATTTTTTAGGTGAGTATGTTCTTTTTTAAAATGAAAGCCCATACCTTGATAGGAATTGAGCCTACGATGTTGCGTTGCAAATCATCAAGCGTTCACCAATTAAGCGCGGGCTCTTTTAGGATGCAGAGTGTGCCCTAATTGTGTAATAAACATATTCTAAATAGCTATTAATTGGAGCTTGGACTTTGTGCGTCATGGGTTTTCCTTGGTCTGCTGGATTAACGATAGCAACCTCAAAGACAAGCCTAGCATCACGCGAAAGGCCAAAGGACCACCGCATCTTTTACGATTACAACTCATCCGCTCAAACCAATACTTGACCCTTGGTATAAAGGTTGGGACATTCGTACTTCCTAACAATCACTTTCTTTTCCTATCGGATTGGTGACTGCGATGGTCCGAATAGGCAATCCAGTTTATAAAAGAATAAAGGGGAACACTACGTAGTTATGTACAAACATTAAAAATTAGTAGAAATATGAAAAGATTCAGATTCCTTATGGGAGGGTCAGTACGGACTCTTTTTTTTTTCCTCTAGTTTTTCCTCCAATGTTATCAATGTCAGATCAGTTTTAATTATTCGTTTTATTTTTTTGAACCTAAGATTTGGAGATGTTTTTGGTGCAATGCAAAAAATCGAACCCCTAATTTTTTAATTTCTAGAGTTGTCTAACAGTTCAGACACTGAACTAGTCCAAAAGTGACCTGAATCTTAAGTCACAGCCCTATGTTCCAAAAAAACAAAAGAAAAAATTTAAAACTAGTTTTAAGAAAAAAGTGCACAAAAAAAAAAAAAAAAAAAAGAATACGCAAAGAGACATACTCTCGGCATAATATTTGAGAAAATATGGATCATTTCATATTTCCCACTAATTTTTGTGTCTGTACGTAATTTTAAAATATAAAATAAAAAAAAAACAAACAAAAATAAAAAATAAAAGATCACGTTGAATTGGTTAGTTTTTAAACAGAACTGATCCGTTCGATAAAAGAACCGACCAGTTCTTAAAGAAAACTAGCTGATTCCCAATGGAGGGGCCAAATCGATCTTGTCCCTATACATGGTGAGACCAGATCGATCTCACCAATTCTTAATCTGAATCATACAATCATGATCCGAATGGGCGTCTTTTAAGACCCTGATCGGAGCTGAGCTCTGTGTCTTTGTTATGTGGCCCGTTGTATTACGAGGGACGCCATACCACCGTAAATAAGCACGCAGGGCAATTTTCCCACGGGTTATGACGTTTGAAAATTTTGAAAATTATTTAGAATATGACAAAAGCTATCCATGACATCTTTCAAAATACCTCCCCAGTCTTACTTTCAAGTCCCAAGCCATATTTTGAAGCTTATTATGCCAGCAGTTCCACGGCAAAAGGAACAACCTAGTTGTTTGCTATTTTATATAGTGTACTTTCACGTCCTTCTCATAAGGGCGTCTTTATTTTATGGGGAAAAAAAAATGGAACGATGTATAGACGGTGGATTTGAATCCGGATTCATTGCTTATGCCTAACATCATAGTGTTTTATCAAGGAAAATGAGTGGTTAACATAAAAAACTAAAAAGCACTTTTCAATTTTTTAAAGAGTGCCGTGCCGTTTGCATAAAGTTGCCCATTAAAGTAAGAGGCAATTCAAAACTTATTAGAGTCGTTAGAGAATTTATTTTCGAATCTAATTATAAAAATTTTAAATTTAAAAAATAGTAAAAATATAAAAGATTTGAAAAATAGGCTGCTATTTTTTAGATCCAAAATCTTTTATCTTTCCATATCGGTACATCTCGATGTCGGTTGAGATGATTGGTTAAAGGATTTTTTAATAACAAAAAAAGTATTTTCTGATAAATTTTGTGGTGCTTGATGTGCACCTTAATTCTACAATTTTAAGTTGCAACTTTACATAACCTTTTTTTTGGATACGGTTCCCATGAGTCTATGTAGAAATGAGTCCCTTTTTTTTGATGGATTTTTTATCCAATTTTTAATGACATATTATATCTAATATAGAGATTATGAATATAAAAAAACAAAATAAATCTTAAAAATAAAAAATATTAATTTTGTGTAAAAAAACATTTGAACTATTAATTTCAATTATTTTTGTGTCCACCTTTAAAATGGATGCTTTACCCATCAGGTGATACAAATATAGAAATACGTTCCCCGACGCATGAAACTTTTATCCCATTGAACAAAAAAACATGAGAGTCGCATTCAGCTCTCTCTCTCTAGGAGAAAAAAAAACCCTAAAAAGAGAGAGAGAGAGAGAGAGGAAACAGGAGGGGCATCTGCCCGGAGCACAGGGCGCAAAGAGATTCGAACTGGGTCCGACTTACCGGAATATGCGTATCCCCTCATCGTGTAGGGCCTCTGCGTGGTGGCCGAGTTGATTGGCAGTATCTCCTCGTGGCTCGGTGTCGTTATAACGGAGTTAATATTCAGCTCGTTGATTATGTATTCCGGCTTGTACCACCACCCTGCCATTCAACACACGCAAATACCGTTTAGCATCTCTCTCTCTAGCTAACCTTATTTGTCTCTCTAAACAAGACAATTCTATCTCTCTCTAGCTACCAGTCTTTCTCTCTCTAAACAAGACAATAACCATTAAAGCCTTGACTTCTCTCTCTCTTCACACGTAAACAGTAATGGCTTTCTATCTCTAAACAGGACAGAGCATTAAAGGCCTTACTTTTCGTTTCATACACGTACACAACGGACTCTGACGTTTTTCTTGGAAACGTACGCTAATTTTTCTCTCTCTGGATACAGACTTCTTCAAATCCTAAAACTTTCTCTTTCTAGAACTATACTTTCTCTCTCTAGAACCGTAAACTAGCAATACAGAAGAAAGCCTTCAGTTTTCTCTTTCTCTCTCTAGAACTACACTTTCTCTGTCTAGAACTATAAACTACAATACAGAAGAAAGCCCTCCCTCACCTTCGGCGTTTGCGAGCTCGGCGTCGACATGTGAGGGCAACACCCTGTTATCCTTGTAGTGATAGTGGTTTTCCGACTCCTTCTCGGTCACCACTATGCGCCTCAGCCACTTCACCATGCGCCCGCCGATGAAACCCGGTATGATCATGCGCACCGGGTAGCCGTGGTCCGGCGCCAAAGGCGCACCATTCTGCTTATATGCCAATATTATATCGCGCACAGGATCCATGGCGAGCTCACGTCTCAAGCTGGTTCCATACTTGGATCCCCCACCACCAGGTAAATCCTCTGCCCCCTCGAAATAGACGTAGAGCGCCCCGCACTTTCGGCTCATGATACCGCATCGTTTGAGCACGTCGCGCAGATGAGCTCCTCGCCATACTGATGTTGATATGCCGGATGCTCCCCAATTGAAACCGACGGTCTGTTTAACCATGTTCTGCTCCTTGCGCCGGTTGCCGGCGCATACGAGAGTGACGGGGAATTCGTGGGGTGCGAAATCATTGACGATCTGGTCCATGGTGAGCTTGGTAGGGCGGCTCACCAGTCCGCTCACCTCCACTGACCACTCGTCCCACGTGCCCTTCGGAACCGGCCCGTGGTTTCGGACGTAGTGGAGGGGTGCTGGGGTGATGAACCCATGCTGCATCAGCTTCGGGAGTGGGGGTTCACAGTTGAAAGGGTGCTTTCCAGTGAGTCGAATCAGAGAGGGGTGGCGCTTTACCCACGAGTCAGCGGTGCCTTCATCACGCGGGTCAAGGATTGGGGCCTCAGATACGGATGAGGGGGGCCATTGAGGCCCAAGCTCATCATCTTCGGATTCCGACTCAGTGTCAGGGTCGATAGTCTGGTGTTTTGTGGCAGGAAGAGAGGAGGATCTGGTGGAGGTGAAAGAGCGCGACGAGTTGCGAATGGGGGAGTCAGGGCGGGAGTGGGGTGACTTCACAAAGCCAATTCCGGGGACTTTGCCAAGGCCTGACTCCAGGCGAATGAACTGCCGATTCTCGACAGAGGCCGCCATGGAAGCCTAGGGCCAACAACCCTGTGAAAGTGCTCGATTGAGAAAGAGTTACTGCAGAGAGAGAATGAGGAGTGGTCTATTGAAGAAAAGTGAGAGGAGGGAGAAAGGAGTTATATAGAGAGAGAGGGGAGGGGAGGGGAGGGGTTGGTTGGGTTGTGTGGAAAAGAGAAGGAAGGGGCCGGCCCAAGGCCGGGTTTAGGAGGGAGTGGGGCTCACTCTATATCTTTCTCTCTCTAGAATTGTAGAGAGAGAAAGAGAAGCTGTGAGCGCCGCCTGGACGTGAGGCCTACAGTTTAGAGATACAAGGGGGCCTAATGGATTGTGAAGTGGCGGATGGGAGTAGCCAACAGCCAAATAATGAACCTACACACACGGGCCAAGGTGACTCCTTCTGCTCTCAAAGAGCCAACCTTTCACCCTTTTACCCATCCCCCCCACCCCAGATGCGGCCTTTCGGAACAAACCCACCAATCGCTGCCCTTCTACTACCAGTACTCCACCTTGCATTTACGACCCTCTCCTCTCTTTTCCCTGTTTCGTCTAAATTCTTATTCTTTTTGGTAAAAAATTTATACATTCTCCAAAAGCATCTCTCTCCTACATACTTTTTGTGGGGACTGCACCAAAGTTACTCAAGCGAGTAGGTTTGACCCAAAAGATTTTCTACTCCCTTACGAGTATGCTATTCGTTTACTCCGCTTCGATAAAACATATGTCAGGGATACCTTTTTGGGATGTAATCTCTACAACCAGTGAGAGACTAATTTTAGTTTTAAAAGAAATTCTGAAATATTCACTATGTATCCGAAAAAAAGTAATGCCAGGAGAGACTAATTTTAGTTTTAAAAGAAATTCCGAAATACTCACTATTATGTACTGGAAAAAGTTAATGCTTCAAGATTGAATCGAGAGTGTCCAATTTTTGAAGGGTTAGTTCTAAGTGTGGCAAAAAGGCAAATTCAAAGTTTTTCTTACGAAAATAACCATATAGTGATTCTTTATGTAGTTTGCAAAATTTTAGAATAAAAATAACCTCTGAAATAGGTCTTTTCAGTGAGGGAGTATATACACAATATTGCTCCTGCAGGAGCACAGTAGACACGCTTCTGTATAGAACTTCATATTCTATTATGTATATTTATTTTGGAGTATGCACAAAAGCAATATCTAGGGGAGTAACTTGAATTTTTATGAGCACCTCACATGCTCATCCATAAATGATAGAAAATCTTTGAATGAAGTTGTTATAAATTTGAGTCCAAGTAGTATATGCTTAGCACAGCTAAATTAGCTAGGTTAAGGGGATTTTTAACCGCTTTACATGCTATTATCTCAAGAAAAAATATACAAAGAGACCAATTACTTTTAAAATAAAGAAGTCACAATCACTTTTGTTCATTAGATTTCAAATCGGTAGTTTGAGTGTATCAATGATTACAATTGAGGTTAAAAAAAAGTCGGATTTCAAATCGGGTAGTTTGAGTGTATCAATGATTACAAACGAGTCCAAAAATAAATGCTTGAATGCAATCTGTCATCCAATTTGACATCTCATAACAATTGTGACCTCTTTGTAACATCTCATAGTATACAATTCCTTATCTCAATTAAAAAAGGGCAGTGATCTCATGCAAAGTTGTATAGAGAGGCTCATAACTCTAAAGTGATTTGAAGGAACCAAGGTTTAAGAAAGGGGACTGATATGACTTGGTTTCTCTATGTCCATGACCCTTTTTATTTTTTTCATTATTTAAAACCTTATCAAAATACTCATGAGAGATGGAATATTTAGTATTTTACACATTTCTGGCTATTCCAACTCAGGATCATGTAAGTAAAAATGCTAACTAATTCATATCTATAGATATTTTGATAAATTTGTCATCATTTTTTACAACCCGGCTGATCCAGACCTGTTAACCTGAGGTAAATAGAAAAGGGAAGTCATAATTACTTTTTGCCATAAAATTTCAAATCAATATGGCTTGGGATGTCTCATAAAGTTCGAGAAAATTTCTTTTGAACTTTGACTCTAGCCAATAACATGCTTACAATCATTCCATTTAAAATCCGACATTTTAAAGTGATTGTGACATCCTTGTACTAAAAATATATAATCTTTTTATATACCTTTTTCAATCCGAACTAAAAAAAATATAATCTTCTTATATACCTTTGCAATCCGAAATCTAATGGAGGGTTTAAACATGTTGAAAATAACGCTGGCGTGCTAGCAACGCCCCAACATACGCCCCAACATGACATCAAAAGCTCCATTCTTGCATGCTAACATTCGAAAAAGAAATTCAAATTTGATTTCATAGCAATGTACGACAAAGCTTGAATAGTTGAATATTTAGTGTTGTATTAGGTGTGCATTAGCACGTATTACAAGGAGTAAAACATGAATAGTTGTGTACGGTAGATAACACATAGTACACATTCGACTGTGTGAAACATCGACCCTGGTGATCACCAAATAAATAAATTTTTTAATATAATACAAATATATTCAAGTTGATATTTTCCAGCTCTAGTTTCGTCTCATTGTTTTTTTTTTGGGGCAACACCTACGGTACGAATTGAGCCTAAGACATGTCATTGCAAACTATAAGTGGTAACCAATTAACACAGAGCTCTTTTTTTAGTTTTTTTCTTTGGGTGAGTCAATTTTGTCTCATTGTTCACAATGAGCCAATGAGAATTACATTTCCATAAAAAACAACTTGTCCCGCTGTATAAACTCCACTGGCATTGAAAATGACAGTGGATGCTCCTTCCATATACCAAAGGTCATACATAGGTTAGGTATGGTACCTCTGTCCCTAGCATCTCTTTCGTTTAAGGGTGCATTTGGATACCTAGAGATGCCTTTTTAGGACACGTCCCTCCATAGAGATCGATGATCTCCAAATTAGAAAAATGCATGAAGATGCGTCTTTCTCAGCAAGGCATCTCCATTTTTTGGAGGCCAAAATAAGGAAATCACTATTCCACTTGGTGGCATTGTGATCTTCATGAAACAGTATTCATGTAGATTCAAAAATAATTTTTTTTAGTTGGTTTCTCTCTCAGTATTATATCCAACCAAATAGGGCACTACACAATTGTTGGTCTCTCTATAGATAGGAACTTTTTCTCTTCCTAGTTACGAACTCTCTCTAGGTATTGGATCCCACATAATAGAACATTATGCTATCGTTGTTCTCTCTCTAGCTACTCTCTATCTTTTCTTTTAGATGCTATCCAAACTACATGCACCCTTCTCCCTCTATCTTTAATTTCTTCTTACATGCTATCTAAACAGCATACACCCTTCTCTCTCTATCTCTCCCTAATTTCTTCTTTGATGCTATCCATACAATATACACCCATCTTCCCAGATATACCTATTTCAGGAGAGTCCTGTTGGAAATGTGGCCTATCAGGCCATTTTTTTCTGGGAATTTATTTTTCAATAATAACACAAAAGCCATATTATAGTATATGTGAAATCCCATGTGGTTAACATGAAGCAATACCATATACTTGGATCTATTTTTTAGTTTTAATAAGATGTTGGACTATAGAAAAAGCCCATTTTCACTGGAGGGAGAACCCAGTGGCGTGTTTCGATTTATTGTAAGAATTTTTTTCTATATTATAGATATATAAAGTTCATTTAATTTCTAAATGTCTTTTATAAAATTGTAGGAATACTTGGATGACATCTTATTATGTGAGTCATTAGTGGACTAATGATAGGTTTAGCTCATTACATAAGATTAACAGTTTGGTGATAATTTGTTAATCTTAATTAGCTATATTTAAGGGAATTAAGGCAGTAGTCACATTTGGATCTCAACTCATATTGACTATGAATGTGAAAGTTACAAAATAAATGTGTTCTTTATAAAAAGAGATTAACCCTTCAAAAACTTGTAAAAAATAATAAAAAAAAAGATACAAGGTGAATGATCTAGAGCCAGCTTCACTGAGTATCCCTTAACCAAAAAGTCATAGTAATTCCACCTACTCGCATGGCCACCAAGAGTCTCACGACCCCAAAGTATTGCGTGTTTTTGCCATTGTGTAGAAATGATGATATTTAAAGAACTAAAATGAATGGTCTAGAAAAAAGTATAAGACAAATTTTTTAGGCCCAAAATTTCTTTTCTTGAGATGATAAACCTAAGAAGTTTTGGAACCAAAGATTTGGATAGTTGGCGTAGAATAGGTGACTCCCAGGTAGCCCCTAAACCCTACCCTTAATAGATGCAAGCACGAAAATCCTACCCTGTGGTAAATGCCAGTGTCCAGGAGGCATATTGCCCTGTCCAAACAGTCAATGGCTTGAACGATTCGGATGGGCGATCTCGATCTAGAATGACTGATTAGTGGAGATAGATTAACAAAGAAGATGTTCACAAAACAATAATGATAGCAAATACAAGCTGGTGGGAATCGATTGATTCCAGGGCTCCCGAGAACCGGATCACCCACCCACAAGATTCAATCGGGAGTGTCAATTTTTCAAAACCATTTAAATGCTTCCAAATTTAAATGAAACTATATTCAAAGGAATTACAATAATACTTTGTCAAATCTTGTCTTTTTGCGAATCTAATAAAAATAGTTCATAAAAAATAAGTAGATCAAAATACCCTAAAATTTGTAGAGGTATTTTGATCAATTTTTTTTTAAAAAATTATTTTTTAAGTATTTTTATAGGTGTACCTTGATGAGAATAGTGGATGTCTTAAATTTTATGTGATTTAACTTTGTATTAAAATTCCATATACGAAATGTATTTGTAAATATTAGATCAGCCCATATTGAATTTGGGCTATTAGGCTTACACTATTCCATTACCCCATAGACTTATATAATATTTTTCCTATATATATATATATATATATATATATATATAGTA